AGCAATGCAGGTTGTCTTATAGCACAGGATGGCATCTGCTAACCTTAAAAAAAATCTGTATTATTGACTTACGGAAGAGCTGGCAGAAATGTAAGTCCCAAGTGTAAGTGTCAAAAGACAGAATTAAGCCATGGGAAATTTAATCCTATCATGTAGAAGTACACAATAACTGAGCTTCTGAGAGAATAAGCATAAACCTTTACTGCATATTAATAAGGCCTCATTCACAGGCAGCAGCACAGGCAAATTTTCACTGCCATGTAATATGTTGGAGGATGAAAGTGAGAGTGAATAGCAAAGCTATGCATTGGAGACAGCTGTGTGGGTCCTTCCTGCGAGAACAATCTCAGGAGGTAGGGAAGCCCTTGGGTAAGAGAGACCATTATAATTGTCCCATTCAACAGTCTCTGGTATGCACACATTCCATGAATTCATGACATTACAGTACCATGAGGAAGTAGGGTTCAAAGGATTAAAAGGAACCACAAATAAGGTTCCTACTATTTTCAAAAGCAATGCATTCACAAACAATGCTTATGAGTCAACATTTCATATAAACATTCATGAGATGATAGATAGATGATAGAAACTTTATTGCAGTCAAAGACCAGCTCCTTTCAATAAATACATAGATTTAAAAAAAAAGAAAATACATAAAAGATTGTCTGTATTAAAAGCCCTCTCAGATTAATAAATACTTCAACACAATATCAGTCATCTTAACTCGGTGACAATCCCAGACTTTGTCCTTGTCCAGCTAGGTAGAGCCACACTCGCTTAGGATTTGTCTTCAGACACCCCATCGCAGCCGCAAAGAATTTAGCGACACTATATGTCATTGTTGGGTTAGTGTCAGACAGCAATACATTGTTGTTCCATGTGGCCCGGGAAGTGATTCATCAGTGGGGAAATGAGTGCAGTGCGAATATCCCTATAGAATGTGCACCTCAGCAGGATGTGCTCTGTAGTTTCTATCTGTTCGATACCACAGGGGCAAAGGTGCTCTGACCAGGGGATCTTTTTGTACCATCCCTCCAAAACTGCCCAGGGGGAGTCTTTTAAGGCAGGCCAAGGTAAAAGCCCTTCTGTGTTTGTGCAATTCCATTTGTTTGAAAAAGGGTGCAGCTATTACAATGTGTCTATAGTCCTCCCTAATGGATAGAATTCAGGGACTCTATTGAGATCGCTTTGTCTTTCAATGTCTGCAATGCGCTGCTTGATGGTTTCCATTGCCTGTTCAAAGCCCATACTTAGTATGTGATGATGGGTCAGCATATTGTGCTAACACTACAGTGATGGTGGGTAAATAATATGAACGTTTCTAAAATACATTTTAATGCCTGTGGAATGGAAGTAAAATTTCAGTGAGAATATTTACTCTGAATAAGAACGATTTTATTCCCCCAGTGCCAGATAATGAAAGGAGAATGTTTTCCTGTGTGCTGATTTGTCTTTCTATTGTCTTAATTAGAGGTTGTGAGTTAATGTGAGATTAGATCTTGTTTACATGTAAGGTAACATTATTGAACATTGTTTTCAGTGACATTCCCCTCTTCTTTTGATTTTTTTTAAACGTAAACAACACACGCACATGCGCACAAACAGAGAGACAGAGAGAGAGAGAGCGATTATTTCCATTTCAAATAAATGTATTTCATTTTTGCATATATATACTAATGTTGCTGTTGCACGGACAAAAGATTCACTGGTAGACAGACTGGCATTATCTATGTCTATTGTTCACATGGGTGAAACCAAGTTAGGTTTTACCTATTGCTATTTTATCATTTGCTTCACACCTTCAGCAGAGCTACAGTCTCAAACTGACCTACTGAAATTGAAAATGTAACCTTCCCAAAATAACAGATGAGGGATTCTTTGTGTTGACATTTTGTGTAGGTCTTATTCTCTGAGCCTGTGACCTACCACATGGAGAAACTTCTAAAAACTACCAACTTGTAATACTGAAGACAGTTATATCCTCCTGGGGGGCCTAGATCCATTGAACTTCAGTTGCAGTGTTAAATCTAATGATCATAGAGGTTGAAAATAATAGGATAAATGAACAATGGAACACAGGTAACTCTCCTAAGGAGTGTTGTCTTGACAGTTCAAGGTGCTGGTAACTTTGTTCTTACATTGCAAATCAAAAACACAAGACCAGGGTTGGAAAAAATTCCCCCTGGCATTCAAACTTAGTAAGTGATGAAAAATTGGTGAACCATATAACTGTACAAACCATAAAACACAAGTCAGGTGTGTCTATAGCTTAGTATTTAATGTGTTTAGTAAGAAACAAATGAATCTGTTAAAGAGCTCAGAGGTTCAAGACCAGTTTGGACATAAACTCTATTATTAAGGTAATTCCAGTTCTGAATGGGATCCAAGGAACAGCACAACTAGTTTCATTTTTTCTTTCAAGCAGAGCTTTGAGCCTGAGCAGCAGCCTTTCCTGTCATGCCAGGCAGCACATCCATTTTAAAACTAAGGAGTCTATTGCACTCAGTTTGTGATAGGATATGAAGATTTTCTATTCAGAACCAAAACTCCAGCTGGGTAGTACAGCCTCTCTAGTGCACCTGAAGAATTTCTTTGAATCTTGGCTAGGTATGGATGTCTCTAAAGGTGTCATTATTAGCAAACTGTCAGAAATGTGTTATTTACTTGAACTTATAAAACCTTTTTCCTAGTGTCTCAGATTGCATGGTCCTACCAGTCAGAGCCCCTGTTGGTCTGGATTGCTCAAAGGAGCTGACTCCATGCAGATACAACTCACAGAACTTGCTTTAGTCCATGTTTATGAGCTTGAAGCCATTGAAATTTGCCTGAAAGAATCCTATGCATTGCCAGAAATGTACATTCAAGCTCCCATATCCCACTCCAAGGCATACAGGAACTGAACTCCCTTTCCTTCCTCACCTTGGCAGGTCATGGCAGTTCACACAATCATGGGTTTCCCCAGGAAACATACAACATCAAGATTTCAGAAAAGTTCAGCTTATTCAGTGCTGTCATTGTTATTTTCTATAAACTGCAACTAATTACTTCATTTCCCTTTAGGGCATCCTCCCCCCCCCCTCCTCATGAAATCCTTATTTAGCAGGCATAAGAGCCTGAGCTGGGTCAGTCACACCTGTTCTCCTCAGACCAGCTCCCCTACTGTCTGTTGGGTGCTTTTAGTAATTCAGGCTCTGAAGGATCCCTTCCCTCATTTGGTGACCTGGCGTTTCCAGTGAATGCAGAGTACTCCTGGGAAAAGACTTTTGTCAAGGAATTGTTTCCTCAGCTGATCTGCATGTAAGGAGAACACAGTCCCAACCCACCCAAAAGGGCAGCATTCTTTCTAAGGAACATTTCTCTTGAAAGTGTCTCCCTTTAGGGCAGTTTCTGTGCCTTTTCATTGTTCAGTTTAACCCTTATTTTAACCCTGATGTGATGTGTAGGTTTGACAATTGCAAGAGTATTATTTTTAGCTGCATTCTTTAGTCCATACTGCAAAATAAAAAAACATGTATATTTTCAAAACCTAAGGAAGGTCAAGCCAACATCAGCTCATGCAACAGGAATTTTTCTCCAGTGTAGATCACAGCACCCTGCAATTCTGCCTTAGAATATCCCTCAAACTTCCAGGTCAGATTTTTCAGACATCATGGGGAGCTACAAGCAGGAGGAGAAATTGTCATTCTCCCAGTTCTGCTAAAAGATATGGTTCTGTTATTTCAAAACCTTTCCCAGGATTTGGCTTTTGAACCATTCTCCACATAAATTTTTAAGTCATTTTGAATCCACAGATATATTTTGAGTCACCAAGCACAAGTCACATTGGCACTATGGAATAAACCATTCAGATGGGATTTAAGGGCATGCCTGCATATGCCAGAGGAAGATATGCAGTGGAATCAAATGTTTTGCAATCAACCTATATATTTTCTACAAGTGTGGACAAGGCGGCGGTTGCTCCTAAATGGTTTTGTACAGCCACAGGATGCAGGGGAAACGCAGTGCACCAAAGAAAATTATGAAGGTTGAAAGCCTCTTGGAAATTGCTGGTACATCTTTTGACAAGAGATATGCATCAGTAACATACAATGTTCAACTTTTGTGGAATGCAACACAAGTACTGTTGCTCTCTCAGTGGAGGGAAGATTAAGCTTTTAGTTTTTTGAGCTGGCACTCTCAAACTGATGTTGCATGATACATTACCTTTTAATATGATCCTACTTGTGTGTTTGACCAAGTGTGGTTGCTTTTTATGGGAGAGGACCAAGGTACAAATATTCAATAACTGGAGACTCAAGTTGCAGATTAGAAAGCACAACATTTATATAATGATTCCTAACATATATACCTATGTACCCACATATGGCAAAGGTGGAGGAAAGCACAGGTGGTATCAATTATTAGGAAATCAAGGATTACATGTTGAATTTTATCAGGGAAAGAATCCATATGCCTGGATTTCAGTCATGGTCTTAAAACCACCATCAAGCTATTTAAATTCTGCCCTTGTTGAACAGTTCCACCTCAATGTGGTTAGCATTCCCTGTTTCTCAAACCAAATTGATCATACTGATCATATTTTTCTGTGTTATACTTTCAGTAATTATCTGTTTGTAAAAGTAAGAAAATGGTAGAATCCATTTGGGCCAGCCAGCTATTCATTTTTCAAGTGCTGTCTCCATTTAGAAACAGAATTTCAAAGACAAGCTTCACTTGCTAGTGAAGATACAACTTCAATATTTCTGCATGGTTTGTGGGGTTTGTTTTTTCCCTTACATAGTTTGCAGAGATACTAAGTGTTACGTGTGACTTTTTGGCTTTCATGTACAAGCAATAAGATACTGATTGCTTTCTTGTTGTTTTTGAACCCCCAGATGCTTGAGAAATCCATTGTTGCTTTGGCCCTGGTTCCATTAGCTGCCTCCTCCAAAAGGAACGTGCTCACTGTTTCATCAGCCAAGCACAATATTATTTTGCACTGATTATTCCTCCATATCCACATGGCCTTTCTACTGGTGTCAGCCTACCTTTTGTTGACTCATGCGCATGGTGCTCCAGTTGAGAATGGGGCCCTCATGGAGACGCTGAAGTCACAAGTTATATTGTTCAGCAATAAGAGTGAACACTATCCAGTACAAGTGAGACCTCCTGGAACAAGCAGACGAATACCTCAGACAATCATCATTGGCGTTCGTAAAGGAGGGACCAGGGCCTTACTTGAGATGTTGGACGTACACCCCAACATTGTGGTTGCAGCTACTGAAGTTCACTTTTTTGACTGGGATGAAAATTATGTGAAAGGAATAGACTGGTACAGAAGTCTGATGCCATTTTCTTATGAAAATCAAATAACTATTGAGAAAACTCCGGGCTATTTTACCTCACCACAGGCTCCTGAAAGGATTCATGATATGAATAGCTCTATTAAACTGCTGCTTATTCTCAGAGATCCCACAGAGAGAGTTATCTCTGATTATACCCAAGTCTATTACAATAGACTGGAAAGCCACAAACCTGTTCAGCTCTTCGAAGACATTGTTATTAAAAATGGAGCACTTAATACTAAATACAAGGCAATCCAGAGAAGTCTGTATGACATTCATATGGAGAGGTGGCTTAAACATTTCCATTTGGATCAAATTCACATAGTAGATGGGAATACTTTGATCAAGGACCCTCTTCCTGAATTGCAAAAAGTGGAAAGATTTCTTAACCTGCCTTCCAGAATCATGTCTTCAAATTTTTATTTTAACCAGACCAAGGGTTTCTATTGCATTAGGAGTGATGGAAGAGAGAGATGTTTACATGAATCAAAAGGGCGTCCACATCCTGTTGTCAACAGTACTGTTTTAGAACAACTTTATGCCTACTTCAAAGAGCACAATGCAAAATTCTACCGAATGATTAATCATTCATTTGACTGGCATTAGTAGCTTTTGTTTTGAAGGAAATGATTTTTTTAGTAGTCCTGCAGTAAATTATTTTCAAGTACTTCCTGATATACTCTGGGTTGAATTTGTCTTGATGTTAAGACCAGAGTTTGTTTCCTTTGAGAAGATCACTAGGGATTTATTGTATTTGTGACAGGCACTCTTTAAGTGTGCCAGGGTAAAATAGGCTTAAAACTGGTGTTTAACTATTGTAATGAACTTGATTGCACCAGTCCAAGTCCAATGACTTCAATGGAGTTATTTCAGAGTTATTCTTGTATAGCTGAACTGACTCATTTGTCTCCTTTTATTCAGATTTATGAGCAAATGGGGTTACACTGAAAACCATTCCTTAACCAATGTTTTAAAAAAGTGTGGCTGAAATGGTATTATTTTAACCTTCAGGTTTTGTTGGCTCCTTTTATTTTTCTATCCAGGTCCATGACAGTGGGATTGATTTCTAGAACTTTTCATACAGTAAAATGATTATATATGAGAAGAAAATATGACTTGAAGTGGTTCCATTATATAATTTTGAGTCTTTTTGTGAAATGATGATTGTAAAGTATATCCACTTCAATAAGCCTCAAGGATGACTATGAGACTGAACAGTTAAAAGTTTTCTCTCTGTTACAGATTCCTCTATATAGGGTCTTTGTATAAGTAAAAAAGGAATTACCCATGTGGGTGCAAATCCACTTAACCTGTTTGCACCAATGTTACTATTGCCGGTGCATACAAATGAGGGCTCTAAAAATAATCCCATTTTACACAGTAGACACCAGGAGCTACACAAGTGTCCATCTCAGCACATAAATTATGAGCCACTTGTTTAAAAATCCCCATCAATACACAATTATGTAACTATTTTGCATTTTGTAACCATTTGTTCAAATAATTTATATAACACATTGGCACAACGTTTATTGCAAAAAAAAAAAAAAGTTTAATTGCCTGCTCTCCAAAATGTGGAGTAACTTTTGTAATAGCTATTTGCAAATTATAAGATGTACTCAGAGTGCAAAGTAACTTCATGTGGTATTGTATACTATACACACAATATTCAAAATATTAAGTATGGGTTTCTGATCTATCTATAAAATGTTCAATTTACATGGATGCATTAGGATTTGTTCATTTATAATATATTTTTACTTGACAATGTATCATCTCTCTTTTTAAATGTTTTACCTTTGCTTTGGAGATATATAGACAGTTGATCAATGTATGATCAGTTGGTTTTCTTGTGCAGTGGTGGGAGTGAAAGAAAATAATTACATAAACATACTGCTGATAAAATATGAAGATTTGTACACATTGGCTTTATAGTATTAGAACCATGCATTCAGTTAAACTAGATTTGCAAACCATTTCCATAGTCACTCCTTGAACTGCCACTACGGGGACTGAGAAAGGAAATTGTACAAAGGTGGTTTTTTTTTCTCTCTCTCTCTCTTTCATTCTCTAAACAAAAATGGCTAACATGGAATCAAAGAAGTGATGGTAACCACAAAGGCTATCTCATCCAAACTCCTACCAGTGTAGCACATCCATTACAACAGCATCCTTGGTCATTGTACTTATTTTATTTATTCATTACATTGGTATGTTCCCCAATAGACAAAGCCTTTTGGGTGGTTCCCAACAAATTTAATCTATGAAATACAACATATGTTATGGTAAATGGCCATCCAGCCTCTGCTTCAAAACTTTTACAAGTAGGGGAGGAGTCTGCCCCACTATATTACACTGTCAATTAGCTCATATGCTCAGAATGTTCTTCATAATGTTTAATCAAAATTTTGTTTCTTATTATTTGGACATCATGGATCTGGGCCTGCACTCTAGAGCAACAGACAACATTTGTATGTTTGCCTATCATAGTATCTTAATCATCTCTTCTTTAAGCTAAACATAACCATTTCCTTCCATCTCTCCTCAAGGACTGGATCTACAGGCTTCTCACTGACTTTGTTGGTTTCCTCTGGAAATGTTCCAGAGTGTGTAGCTTCTAGTGTCTCGAAACCTCTAGATATTTTTTTTACATATAGTGCTGTTAATCTGTTTATCATCCATCTGATATGGATAAAGTTGATATTTCCTGCCTAAATGTAGTAGAACTTTACAATTGTGTCTGTTAAATTTTATTTTGCTACTTTTGACTCAATTCTCATTCCTACAGTGGTCATCTTGAGAACTATTTTGTCTTCTCAAGTATTACCCAACCCTTCTTCTTTGATATATGCAAATTAAATGAACAATTCCTTCAAATTATTTATAAAGGCATTAAACCCAGGAAGAACTTTGCAACACTCCACTGTTTCTTTCGTTGATGGGGATTATTGGTGAGTACTCCTTGGGTATGATCTGTCAACAAGCTACAAATCCACCTGGTGCTAATATCATCTGGCTGACATTTTACCAGCTTGCCAACATGAAAACAATGGGAAGTTTATCAAAGTTCTTTCTAATATCAAGATTTACTAAACCCACAGCATTTCCCTAATATATTAGGCTACTACCTATAAAAAGGCTTAAAATCTTGTAATGGCTTTTCTAGTCACAGTGATCTTATCTAAATGTTCACAGACTGGCTGCTTAATTATCTGTTCTAGAACTTTTCCAGGCAACAGCATCAAACTTGACTGGCTTAGCAGTTGCTTCCTGTTTCCTTCCTGCACTTCACACATTCTCTAAGCTTTTCCCAAAACTATATGCAGGCTTTGAAATAAGAGGCTTCTGTATACAAAGCATTTATTTTGCTCTCGTGGTTCTCATCCATGGTGGTTTGCAGGTGCTGTCAACATGTCATCCTCCTCCAGGGCCTCTGAGCATTTCCACAGCTTCTTTTAGAATGAGGATAATGTGCTATTAAAGCACACTATCAAAGCCTACAAAATGATTGTGTGTTTTTGCAGTTCTGCTACACCTTATACCACCTTGTGGTTGTATAATGGAATATACTGAAAAGCATGTGCGGGGGAGAGTCTGGAAAAATGTGTACATGAACTGATCTTAATCCTGCAAATGATCTGGAAGACTCTGCAAAGTTAAGTTAAAATGAGTTAAAAGACTGATGTAGGGAAGCCCTGCATTTGTCAGACCATTTAGTACAGTAGAATGCAATTCATCTGACTTTGAAAACTTGAATTTATTTTGAGTAGCTGCATGTTCCTGGACTATTGTTTTGCCTGTCTCAGACTGCAGTCCTTCCCATCATCATTTACTCTATTTTTTGGCAGACTGAGCACAGTTTCCGCTTGAAGAAGAATACTGAGGCAAAGTGAGAGTTTAGCCATTTCATCTCTTCCCTATCACCCACTAAAATTCTGTCAGGTATTCCACACAGTGTACCTATCCCTTTCTTGTTATTTGTCTTGCATTAGAAATAGTCATTAAAAAGTATTGTGTTGTTTTTAACACCCCTTGCAAGCTGAAGTTCATTCTCAGCTTTCCTCTTCTGATATTCTCCCGCACGGTCCAACAAGTCGTGGCTGCTCACATGTATTTCTTCCTGTTTGTTGACCCCATCTTCCAGTTCATATGCACATCATAAAGCTGCATGAGTGGGATGATGGCTAGTAAAATTTGGCTAGGTCTTTGCAGTGCAGTAATAGCAGCACATATAAATTCCACTGGATCCAGTGGAAATTGTGTTTTAAATGTTGCCTTAGTTTCAATTAACAAGTTATACACATGCATCCTTATGCTACCCAAATACATTTTGATTCACAGAGAAAAAGCTGCTGAGAAAAGTTAAGTTGTATCATGGTAAAAAATAAATGTTTGAAGTATAACTAGTAAAAATTCAGCAAGCAGCACTTGCATAGACATTTCTAAAAGCTGTTCAAGGACATTAAAATCGGGGACATGAATGAGATTACCAAGAATGGGTAAAGCAAGATGCCAAAGGAGTAAGAAATCTTTGGAAGAAACAGAGAGTTAGACATGAGAGAAAGTCAGGACATGACAGGAAGGGGTTGCCTGATCACTCAGTACATCACCTATAGTGGCACAATGGCAGCATAATTCAGATTTGTTTCTGTGCACTCCACAGCAAAATAAAGAACTATCCATGGCAGCTCCATCACATTCAAGTAACTCAGACGTTGTGCGCAACTGGAATCCCTTTATTTATGTATGGAATGAACCACTCAATACATGGTAACACCAGAACAAACCCATAACATCATCATACCCAGGGCACTTAAAGAGTGCACTCCTTCACTCCACCTCTGTGGTATAGTGAGCAATGGACATGCAAGTAACATACTGAAGAGATATTCTGAATACTGTGGTTCAAAGCAGTGTAAGCCTGCTCAACAAACAGCTATCCACATACAGGGAAAGAACTGACAAGTCTAAAAACGAGGCAGCACCATAACGGTATGGAGGAAGCATACAATAAAAATGGAAGGGTATCCCAGAAGACGGGCTCATTTTCATTTCATTTGTAAAAGAATACAATTACAAAATACATCATACAATTGAAAAGGAATCAACACCTATATAAAAAAAAGCATATAAGTAAAAAAAAAAAAAAACACTTAGTGCTTCCCTCCACCAGGACCATGGCTGTCCAATATTTTTCCTTCATTTTTTACTATTTCTTTCTTTGTATTCCTGCTCTTTCAGGAATACCCCCTTCCATCCAAAATTGCATATGCATCAGCCACAGGTTTAGTACCCTTCCCTTTTCTAAGTACATCTTCAGTAAACAAACCCCATGTATCATTAAAGCCATTCTTCTTTATCAGTGGGGTCATTTTATTAAAAAACAAGCAAGGTTTCCCACAGAAACACTGCAGGCAACACCACTGTACCAGAATCTGGGCAAAGCAGGGCAAGTAACTGACACAGGAGAGAGAACAAGATGTATAAGGAAGAGCAGAATTATGCTAGGAAGCTCAAAGGGATCAGCACTGTACATACCTGCCAGAGTTCGGATCCTACCAATACATTTATGACCGAAAATCTAATTTTGCCTTTGGGCTACATGA